AATGGAACCATCTCGTTTGCATTTGACCTTGTACACCCATTTACATCCAACTGCCTTCTTTCCTTGAGGTAAATCTGTCATTGTCCAAGTGTCATTCTGTTCCAATGCTTGTAATTCCAGCCTCATAGCTTCCTGCCACTTTTCATTAGTTCTAGCAAGATTATAACTAGAGGGTTCTTGGATATCAGATATATTGGCAAGGAAATGTACATGATCAGAACAAAACACACAATTAGGAGAAGAAATCTCAGGTTTATCAGATGGACTCAAATCAGTTTCAGAAACTGTCAGACAATGTGTAAAACAAACAAAGTCTTCTAGCCATACTATAGTTTTAGTGATTCTGGTGCTACGTCTAACAGGTGGTAAGGAAGGGTTATGCAAAGGAGGAGTAGAAGAATGATGAGGTGAAGGCGGTGGTAAGCTGGAATGTTCTGAGTTTTTTGGTATAGGTGAAGAATGATGTGAGTTGATCTGGAAAATATTAGAGCAAGAAGAGTTTCCTTGATGATAGGTAAAGGGTGAAAAATCATCATCATCAAGGACAATATGTGGAATCAAAAAAGGAGATTCTTTATCACGTTTGTAAGGAAAGATGTTTTCCTGAAATTTAACATTTCTGGAAATGATGATTTTTAGCAAAGAAGTTACAAAAATTTTGTAACCTTTCTGAGTAGAAGGATAACCAACTAGGATTCCTTTGTATGAACGTGCATCAAACTTGTCACGACTAGGAGATGGATTAACAACAAAAGCTTGGTAGCCAAAGACCCTAAGATAGGAAAAGTTTGGTTTAAAACCATTCAAAACCTGAAATAGTTATTTCCACTTGAGTAAAGAAGAAGGTATTTTGTTTATGAGATGTGTAGCTATGAGTATGAATTCCCCCTCCCCCCCCCCCGCCCCCCAAAAAAAAGTTTTAGAAAGATTGGATTGAACCAATAAAGGTCTAGCCACTTGCAAAATGTGTCGATGTTTCCTTTCAACAACACCATTTTGCTATGGTATGTAAGGACAGCTTCTTTGGTGTATGATTCCTAGCTCTTGCCAGCTTTGCTGGAATTTGTCACTGAGAAATTCTGTGCCATTGCCCGTCCTGATGATCTAGACTTGGCTTTGGAATTGTGTTTGGTGTAAGGAAAGAAAGAGATAACAAGGTGGAACCTGAGATTTATGTTTGAATAAGAATGTCCAAACACAACGACTATAATCATCTACTATAGTCAAGAAAAATTGAGATCCATTTAAAGAAGGCTACTTATAAGATCCCCATACATCAATGTGAAACAAAGCAAAACAACGAGTTGTCTTAATACAACTTGAAGAAAATGGATTTTTACTTTCCTTAGATAATGGACAAATCTCACATTGTTTAACATTACAATCCATCTTTTCCTTATACAGGAAGAATTTCAGCTAGGTTTTTCATTACATTTGAAGAAGGGCGGCCTAATCTATAGCGCCACACACCCACAGAAACGGTAGAAAGGACTTCATTTGGGACAGAGCCGTTAGATGCTATAGTAGAAGGTATCTAAAAGATAACATAAGAAGCATAATAGGCTTGAGATTGCAAGATGGTCCTATCAGAAAATGAAGTTAAGTCTAGTATGTATAGCCCCTATACCACTTTACCAGCTGCAATGACCTTATGAGTTCATAGGTCATGTAGTAGACAAAATGATTCAAAGAATTTGAAGTAAACATGAGAATCTTGAGCAAGTTTTCTCACAGAAAGCAAGTTATGTTTTAAAAAAGGCACATATAGGCAATTTTTAAGAGTTATGATAGAACTCAAAACATAGAATGAACATATTTGATATTGCCATCAGGTAATTGAATGGGAGTGCACTTAGGGACAAGCTGTGATTGTATCAAAATGGCTAAAACAGCACACATGTGACTAGTAGCACCAGTAATAGATATCCAAGCCCCTCTATGAATGTAATCAGAAAGCTTTGAACTAAGAAAAGTAAAAGTTGTGCTACCTGCAAAGTCTTTGAAGTGTGCAAAGTTGACCTGATGATCATTTCCAACTTCCATTGGAAATTTTCCTTTCATGAACCTTGCAATTTCCCTCTGCACTGCCTCGGAAATAACTGCACTCTAATTTGTATTTCCATGATCAACCATTTCCACAGGAGATTCAACAATGTTGGTATTATGACTTGTTTGTGTCTTTCCCTTTGGCAGTTTCCACCATTCTTGATATCCCTTTAGCTTGAAATTAACAATCCTCCTTGAGGTGTCCTACTCTCTGGCAATGAGTACACAACAAGTGACTCTTGTCCTTCTTGACAATTGCATGTTTCTGATTACCATCCTTCTTCCATTTTGGCCCTTTAGCCATCATGGTAGTATTATCACTGATTGAAACAATGGAGTTGGCAACCAGTTTATGCTTTTCAGCCTTCAAAAGCATAGAGTAAACCTTATTTGCAGTTGGAATGGGATCCACCAGGAGGATCTGACTATTTTCAGCTTCATAAACTTCACGAACTCTCATGAGAAGTTACATCACCTTATCTTCTGCATCTCATTCCATCAGAATTTTCTTGACCGTGTCACCACATGCCGAGATAGGCCTGAGTTGCTCCAATTGATTCCATAGTTGTTTAATATAGCTATAATACTGGACAATAGACATATTTCCTTGCCTTGCAAGTGCAATTTCTCTCTTCAATTGAAAAAGGAGTGCTGAATTCGAAGCTCCATACCTCTCATGTATCTCGTCCCACAACTATTTCGCTCCACTGATGAAGGTGAAGCTGTTGACCAATTCTTGGGAGATCGAGTTCTTAATCCATGAAACGACCATGTTGTTGAATCAACGCCACTTGTGATAATCTGGCGATCCTTCCTCCGGCAACATGCAGCTGCCGTCAACAAAACCTAGCTTCGTCTTTGCTTTCAATGCAATCATCATAGAATTCCTCCATATGAGGTAATTCTTCGCCGTCAATGGTGCCGTAACCAGCATGGTTTCTGGTGAATTAGATCCATGAAGCAACAATGGCTCGTCTCCAAGATTCATCGTTCCTTTATTACGAGCCATTTTATCAAGATTCCAAGAGTAAGAATGATGCACAAGGAAGAAGAAACAAACTCACTACAGGAACAAAAATAAATCTAAATTTGTAAAGAAAAAGCAAAGAAATCAAAACAGATATGAGAGATCTGATTCAAGAAAGGAAAGAACAGAAATTAAAAGTAAAACAAACAGGAACGAAATTGATTGGTGATCAGGCAGGATTAAACTTGTTTTGATACCATCAAAGAAACCAGAAACGACTAACAAGGAAGAAAGTTTGCCGGAAAAGGAAAAGAAAGAAGAAACAGCCATTGTTGATTTTCTGAAACTTTTTTGTAAAATTTCATTCACGATAAAGTTACACAAATGTACAGCTAGCTCTATATATACATCATCAAATCTGATCCTCAGTTTATTTACAAATGAAATCCTTATTCTAGAATGTTCAAAGTAACCGCCTATCATATTTACAATTTAAGGACCTCTGTTGCTGAAACAAAGTGGTTCACTAAGCTTCTTGCGTCTCCAAGAAGATTCAGAGCGAGGATTCCGTTTTTCCAGCTCAGCATTAGCATGTGCAAGTTGATCCAGTTGATTGTGTGATTGATCACGTGCTGTGCTTGGCGCTGGATTTTTGCGGGAAGATCTTCCAGAAGGCGGTGATGAACAAACGTCACCGTTTGGAGCTGAAATGGCTGAATCAGGAGCAGAATATTTCAACCAGGACGCTGGATACAGGAATTATGATCTGCTGGAGTTATGAACTCAAGGCGGCGCCTACGATGGATTAAAACGGTGTAATGAACCAAGATGGATGGAGAAAGTCAACTACTAACCTATTGGTGTAACAGAAATGGCTAGGGTTAGGGTTTAACCATTTTTGTCATATTTTGGATAAACTCTTTCAGTGGCATCTGAATTTACTTTTATTAGTTGCTTATGTGGTATAATACGTTTTTACATGCTCTGCGTTTCTATAACTCCAGTTTGAAATATATTTGAGTAATTTTGTTTCAAGATATATATCTCTATCTAGTATTAGTGCGGAGCTCACTGAGATGGCGCTCACCCCTTTATTTTATATAAATATCCCTCTCAGGAACTAAGTTTTGAGGAGAGTAGAGCAGGATGGATTATCGTACTTAAGGGTACTTGTATCAGAATTGTTACACTAGTCTTTAATTTATAAGTTTGTGACGTTGGAACTTGAGATCATGGGAAATGTGCAAAATTCTGGTCAACAAGACAAAAAAAATGAAAGACCCCGGTTCAATCCGGTTTTAACCGATTCTCGATTTGATCGGGATCTTGACCGAAAGATTTTTTGGCGATTTTATTCCTTCCTTGACTCGGCTTAGGGTCCAGTTCCTGGTTAAAGCAGTTCAGCCGGCTAGTCCGAGCCGAGCTTTATCGCACTGCTCAGAGGAGGCATTGAGTTCAATTCCCACTCCTTAAGAGCGAAGCTTGACTCAATTAGACACTTGTTATGGTGAATACGTACACGAACCTCGATTTTGCACCTGAATTTTTCATTAAGGACTTAACTATTTACCTTCTCATCGTAATTTGCAAGTTATTACAAAGGATGCACGTTTACCTATCTCTGGTGAGATTTTCAGCGTAAAAAAAATAAAAAATAAAAATTGTTGATGCCATGAAAGGTGTCCATTGATCGATCAGATCATTTAATTGGAAATAATGATGTTATGGATACTTATTGGCCAATCAGATCACTCAATAAAAAAGTTCCGAACACCTAGCCAATAAGAATCAAAAAATAATTTTTCATTGTAAATTTTTCGGTTTAAAGAATAGAGATAATGTAAAATAACACTAGCTCAAGTATTGATCCTTATGTTGCTTGATTTATAATACTAATTCTATTTCGGTGTTGGATGAGAAATTAGGAAACTGATTATCGTTATCATCATCCAAAAATTTATAGGCGTTTTAACAAGCTAATCAAAATAAATAGGGGAGTCTATTTCTAAATGATTGAAAGTGTAAGGCCATATTAACAATAATAATTTTTATTATCTAAACCCTATCCCTCTATCTTGGCCGCCGATGCTGCCTTCTCCTTCGTGACATCTTCTCTCTCCTTCCGTCATCTGAAGTCTGAACCGCTTCTCCTCTGCGTCTCTTTACCTTTTCCTGTATTTCTTTCTTCTTCGCACCAGAAAATTCTTCCCACGAATAAAGAAAATAGATGGAAAAAACCCTCCAAAATCCTCCCAACTGGAAGTCAAAGTGTCTTGACTGATTTACTCAGATCCGGCCGTGTTGTGTCGTGTCGACGGAGACAAGGAGAACTCAGGAAAAATGGAAAATGGGTTTGTTCTTGAACCTGAGAATGGGCATATTACTAATGGGAATCGCTCGAAGTCCTCACCAGAGACTATTCTTACATATAAGAGGAGAAAGCGTGCCTCGGAATTCGAATGGCCGAAATCTCCTGGGAATTCAGCCGCTCAAATCAAAGAAAAGGTAATCGTCTTTAAGAATATGTTTTCCTAGTAGAGTTTTCAGGAATGAAAAGTTTAATTCCTACTTGAGTTGCTGTTAGGTGATAATTAGTGGAATGTGTTATTTGATTTTACATCTAGAGGAAGATTTAGGCCAATATGAATGTTGGTTCTGGAAATATGACCATACTAGTTTAGAAATTTGCAGTTATTCGTAAAGGTTGATCATATTGTTAATATTGGCACATGGGTCACTTAGGCGAATGAAAGTGAAAAAGAACAAAATTTGTTATATGGAAGTGATTAGAGTAAAACAGCGGAAATTCTGGTCTATTCATTTGTGGAAAGTAAGTTAGTTGTATCTCCCTTTATCCCTGGAAATTTTGCTGGATGGAAGATAATTATCTCTAAAAGCTTGAAGAATTGAGTTGGATTATGCCCTTCTTTAGTATTCGTGACTTCACCACTCATCAGCTAGTGCACCCCTCACAGTTCCTACCATACAACAGGAACTGACCATTGTAAAGTTATAATTGACAATACTTGTTATTTGAATTCAGCTGTTCTTAGCTTTGCAATGTTACTTAAAGAAACCCTTAACATCTTGGAGTGAAAACAACAATCGTTATTATTATATCCACTGATTGTAGAAAGCTTGCTCGAAAACTAGTTGACTTCTAGAAGACAACTATAAACCTCTCTTGAACGCTTAGTGAAATGTTGGGCACTATACTTTTACTTGGTCTTCCTCTGTTTTCTTATATGCACTTTCGATAATGGTTCCGGTGACTAAATATGTAAAAGCTTATATGGGAATGTAAAGTATGTCACTTTTTTGTTCTTTCTTCTCCTTTTTTCAAGCGAATCATTTTTATTTTTAAATCTTCATATACTCTTAATGTCCTGTTGGGTTCTTCACCTTTTTTCCTTTCTCAGTTTACCTTCTAGAGGTGACCTCCCACAAGGTTCATGTACTTTGAACTGCCATTATTATAATATCTTGCCTTTATATGCTCAGAGTTGAAGATTGAAGTTCCTTTTATCAATTTGTTTCACTTAATTGTCATCTACCATGTCACTTTATATTCCATTACTTTCTGCTTGAATTCCTAACATTGGTTCTCGCTTCATGAGTATGCCTTTAAAGTAACATCAGGAAAGATATCTTAGCTTCTGGTGAAAAAATAGAACTGTAGTTACAAGTATGATATGCTATGCCTATCTTTTTCAGACCCCCCATACCTGAAGTTGGTTGGCAATATACTATGTATGTTGATGTTGATGTTGATAAAACCCAGAGGTTGGTGCATAATGGGACCTCTCCAAATACCATAGCAATAATACCAAGAAAAATCAAAGTATACTCCCCCAGTCCTAGAAAAGTAGTCCACATTGAGTTTGAAGATTTGTAGTAAAAAGAGTACAAATCTCAAAACTAAATGTGGACTAGTTTTTGGGACGGGTAGTATTTTAGTAACTGGTTTGAACTACAGGCATTTGTTTTGCATATCCCTCACTGATGTTTGTGGTTTATGTTTCACTTTGCTTTTGTTATATTTGAACTACAGGCTTTTTCTTTTCTTATTTATTTATTTCTGGGACATTGCAGTCAACAAAAGGATTGCCAGATATCGATTCCAATGAATGTTCATGTCAAGGTCAAGTTGCAGGGAATGGATCCAGTTTCAGCATACCTGTTTCCGGAAATTTCTCTCGCAATTACTCAAGGGCTCTTGTTTTGGAGCAAATGTGCAATTCTATGGACGTTAAAGGTGGTTTAATGGAATTTATTCAGGATTCACTTCTTTTACCTACAGAAAATGGTCACATCTCCCGATCCAAGGTATGCTAGCAAAACATTTTCCCACTGACTATGCTCAATTGCTCACGTCTATGGTTGGGTCTCTTTTCTTGTTAAATCATATCTTATTTGTAGCTGTCTGAATCATTGATCAAATGTGTTGGACCAGGATGACGAAGGAAGGAACTGCACCTCAACTTCTGGCCCATCGGTTGCTGGCATTCAGAATGCTGTTAGGAGCATGGAGGGTGGGATGTTGAACACTTCTATGAATAATGCTGACCGTAGGAAAGTGGCAGATCTGTGCAAGCGGACATTTTGCGATGTCATTATGTCTGAAAAGTTTGCTCTTCTATGCAATGTCCTCCTTGAAAATTTTCATGGAATTAAAGCCGACAAACTTCTTGATATTGGCTTTATAAACTCAAGAATGAAGGAAGGAGTATATGAAAAATCACCTGGGCGCTTTCTCTCAGACTTTCAGCAGGTAGTTTTGTACTGTATGATTGGTACTGTGACTATTGATTGGAGCATATAAAACTAGCAAAATACTATTTGTTAATAGATTTCTCTGTCTTGGGCATTGTTTTAGCTCCAAAAGGCTTAAAGATGATATTAAATGAAATGGTTATAACTCAATATTTATTGTCCTTTCCTGTTCAATTGGTCAATGTCATCTTCTATCATACCTGTCCTTATTGGTGTTTTTGATACCCAAAATTATACTGGCTTTTCATTATTTGTTTTTTTTTTTTGGGAAAATCATTATTTGTTTGAATGTCTGAATTCCTATGCGGAATTGTACAACGCTGATAGATTTAGAATTTGTTTATTGTGATTGTGCCCATGCTTATATTTATATCATTCTTTACTGTTGTCTTTTTGTGATTGTATTAGTGTGATATTACTTGCGCTATTATTCTTTTTGTGTTTACCTCACTACTTTTCTATGATGGAAGTTTCTGATCTGACGTGATCCCTTGAGGGTAATCCTTAGTGTATTTTGGGAAGGGTATATTATCCTGGAGTAGGATGGTGTTAAATTGTTCTGCAACTACCGCAAATCTTGTTTAAACAGTTCATCATTTGTACCATATTACTGATGGGATTTGCTAAAGATGTAGGTATACTTTTTATTGGAGGAAGGAGGTTTTGTTTCTGAACCACTGTGCTATTTGATGTCTTATCCCGTAAACAGATACCGTAATGCTGCCATGCTTGACAAAAGTTGTGAATTTGCAATGCGAGTTGCTCTGTCGTTAAGAAAAAGTTTAGAATAGAATTGTTGAAAGCTGTATTTCTTAAATGTTTTTGAAACTGCACATTGTTTTTTGGGATTGGGTTCCTTGTTTAATGAGTTAAGTGTTTTAGTTCTTAATGTTTTGTTTTATTGAGGAATCTGTGATTGTTATGATCAAAAGGTATTGATTCATACCCACTTATAGGTCTGGATCAAGCTTCAGAAGTTTGGTGCTGAGATTGTCACTCTTTCGAAGAATCTTTCTGAGAAGTCAAGGGCTTCCTATCGCGAGCAGGTAGATTAATCTTCTTGCAGATGGTTTTGCATTGTTTTTATTGTAATATATATTTTTTCCTTTTGCATCTTTATAGGTCGTTAAGTTGTTTGTCTACGACTCTGTGTTTTTTTTCCCTACTTTTTGATAGATTTAGCTATTGGTTCTGCTTTTTCTCAGATTGAGGGCTTGTTTCATGGTTTTTCTTCTGATGGCCTCTGTGAGGTGATGATGTTTTCTCCTTTTGTTAAGCTTTGTATCTCCTTTTGAGCTATATCATTGTACTTGGGAAAAATTAAAATTTCAGAACCTGGAATCTCTAGTTCTTCCTTGTTGATCTTTTGAGACATTCATGTATCTTTCTGTTTCTTTCTTATTTTATTTTATGTTTAAACTTATGTCATTTACTTTTAGTATGAAGTTTGGTTTAGTGAATAATTCTACTGAATTTTGTGATAACAGTTTGCTACTGAAAATTCTGATATGCATGCGAAAATGGAGCAATCAGAGGCTTGTGGTATATATAAAGTTTGCACCTGCAAACAATGTGGAGGCAAAGCAGATGGCAAAGATTTTCTTGTCTGTGATTCTTGTGAGGAAATGTATCATATTTTCTGCATTAAACCAGCTGTAACAGAAATTCCCTTGAGAAGTTGGTACTGTGCCAGCTGTACGGCAAAGGGGGTTGCATCGCCACATGACAACTGTGTAGTTTGTGAGAGGTTGACTACCTCCAGGTCTCTGATCCACGACGAAGTTGATGAACTTAGCAATACCGATACAGTTATGGATCTTGATGAGAGTTCAACTGACTTTGCAGATGATGATATTCGTTCACCTGCAGGTAATTACTGCAACATATGTAAAAGTGAGACAAGGAATGGTCAGAAGCTTAGAATCTGTGGTCATGATTTCTGCCCTCACAAGTTCTACCATGCAAAATGTCTGACAAGTAAGCAATTGGATTCTTATGGCCCTCGCTGGTATTGTCCGTCGTGTCTGTGTAGAGTTTGCCATGCTGATCGTGATGATGATAAGATTGTCTTGTGTGATAGCTGTGATTATGCATATCACATCTATTGTATGGAACCACCTCGCACCATGATTCCTAAGGGTAAATGGTTTTGCAGCAGATGTGATGCAGAAATCAGATCCATACTTAAGGCTAAAAGGGCTTATGAGAATATGCAAAGTAATCGCGGAAAAAGATCTGGGGAGGAGGGAAAGGCTTTTGAAAAGGACCTCATGAGTGAGAAAGGGAAGAAGCATGAAGAAATTAAGAAATCTGGGGGTGTCGACATGCTTTTGAATGCTGCTATAACTCTTAACTATGAGGAGAATCTGGCCACAAGAAGGGCAAGGAGCTCACATAATTTGACGTGTTGACTGTTCTGAGGAATATAGTTCATCTGACTGAAGTTTATATACATAGGTTCCTTTTACTACAGAGACATGTTTCGCAGTTCTGCTGCATTTTGTAAGGATCACTAATGTTTAGCCTAGATTGTAAACTTAGTAGGCTTAGAAGATTCTGGGGCTGGGAGGCGGGCTCTGGGCGTGATTCTTCTTCGATGTAAATCTTGGATTTGCTTGCAGCTTGTAGTGGTAGATTGTTTGCCTCCCCTGTAGATGCGAATTTCAGGGTAATCTTTTCAGTATATGGTATTCCAAGCGCATTCCCGCTTTTGTCTTTAGGTGCCATTTGCTGCCCATTTTTTTTTTTTTTTTTTTGTCTAGAACAGTAATTGTGAAATTGTAAGGATTATTATCACTTCCCAGAATTCTCTTCGCCTTTTGTGAACTCACACCGATGTCCTACCCGGAAAAGATACCATTTCGCTGATTCTAACGTGTTGAATCCCTTACCAAATGGAAAAAGGAAGACCAATAGTAGCAGGATACCCAAATTACAAGATCAATTGCAGCTTTGACAATTTTATTATTATTATTATTATTTGGAGTCAAAAGTTTCTGATATTGTTTGTGTTCTTTGCTGAAGAATTTTAGAGGCATAATGACTAGTTATCATCTGTTTAGATGATCAAATACTATTGATACGAGGCCACATAATTAAAGATGCTAGACTTGTTCTCCTATTCTATTGGTTGAAAGAGTACTAGATCTTATTTAGTTTACACTGCTTTTCCTTTCTTTGAAAAGCAGCATGCATAGTGTAATTGTCATTGGAGAACGAACAAGAAAAAGAAGAAGTTACAGAAAGGGAGAGAAAGATGGCAATGATTTTTAGCTAATGATAATTTTGATACTCCTTTCTCACAAACAAATTCGCACCCCCACCACACACACACACACACACACTTCACCTTGGGAGTTAAGACAAATGTATCTTTTTGAATCGGGATGGACGAAATTAAAACTAATGTCCCAAGATGGGGAAATTTACTTCCATTTCAACTGGGGAAATTTTTTCTTTGCTAAAATGTCCCAAGATGACCTCCCAATTTGTTTATACAGTTTATAAATTTTCAAAAAGAACTAAAAAAATTGATTAAAACTAATTGATAATGAGTAGAGTCGCCATTTCATTCTCTCAACTCATATCGGACATGGGAATATCTCTCTTTTCATGTGCATAAGTAATTGACTATTCAGTTAATTTATTTTAAGAGTATTAAAATGGTTCATAATTTTACTGGAAATTTTAAGAGTTAGTTTCTCAATGCTAATTCAAGTATCCTGGATCATTGGTCGGCTTTCTCATGATGGAATGCACACGATACATGTACCTTAATTTATTCTCAACACCATCTTTACGAAACAAAGTTTTTCCTGAATATAATGCAACTTAATTTTCCAGGGTGACATTCAACAGTTTCTCAAATCTTAACACTAAGTAAAACGTCGACAACCACACATTTTAACTTACTGTTTGTTAATTTAATTAGTAATGAGTAATATACCGTGAAATATTTCGGTATTTTACTATTAAGTTCTTATCAATTTCTCCGTATTATTTTATCGTGGATCATGTTATTCTCATATACTGCTTACTTGACCCTCAAGTTTTTTTACATGTAACGTATAGTTTCTACAGTACACACGGTTACGTACGTGTGAAACACACAAGTTGTAACTACTAAAAGAGGGAAAGAAAACAAGCAGGCGATTCCAATGTGGAAACGAGAAAAACGAAAATAAAAAAAAAATTAAAACAACAACGTTCCGTTGATAACCAAGTTTTTTTTTTCCAATTTAATATTATTATCCTAGATTATTAGAGGAATAAATGAAAGATAAATTGCATGAAAATGAGTAGAAATTGAAGAGAACGTAAAAAAATTATTTTAAATTGAGATGAAAGCTTTGTGACACCAAAGAAGTAACCGTGTACATTCTAGGGCTCTCTCTCATTACATTGAATTGTCCTCATAATTCAAAGGTTCAAAGCCAATATTTAATTTCTTTGAATTCTCCGGTATATCTGGGAAAAAAGTGAGACCTGGAGGATCCGATAGAAGTACGAAATTCCATAAGAAAGTTCAATTGTCATTTGTGTATTAATTTCCCAGATGTTTTCCAACAATTTCTAGGTTTTGGTACAAGGACGGCAATGATGCAAATTACTATAAGGGATGAGCCGATCAACTGTATTTTCTCGTATTTTTAACATTTGGCATTAAAAAGACTACGCAGATATCATTATATTCTAAGAGATTCCATATTCCTTATGGAAGTAGTTTACAAATCTTAAATCATCACGAACTGTCTATGAAATTCGACAATGATATATTGTTATAACTAAATTCAATATAGTCGTCTATTATATGCTTTGAAGCAAGTTTTGACAATGGTTTGTCAGACATGGAAGATTTTAACTCTAACATTTATTTATGCAACAATCAATTATTTTTTGGGTACGTCGTGAGATACTTAAAAGAAAAAGAAAAGACTACCCCCTTAAGGGTTGACAATTAACAGAAATATAGACCGTCGAAAAATGGGACCTTGAAAATCTTCAAAGTCCAAACCTAAACCAACATTTGAAAAATGTCGGAAGACCGAACTTGACCAAAGAAATATTCTTGAATTAACACAACATTTCTAGGGTGCTTTCAAACAGTTTCTCAGGTTTTACGTACGAGGAGGCAAAATGCCGAATATATACCATATACATTCATGAAGAGGCTGTCATTTGTTTAGAAAAAAAAAAAAAAAAACCATTTGTTGAATGTTGATTTCAAATTAAACAATAAAATTAAGGGTCCAGAATTTTACCGCTAAGTTCTCATCAATTTCTCCTTAATAATTTATCCGGGAAAAATATTAATGTTCATATACCCACGGCTCGGTTGACTTGAAACTTCTGTACGTTAATTTCTATAGTACTCCCTCCGTTCCAAAATAAGTGTCATTCTAGAGTTTGCACACTGTTTAAAAAAATATTAAATAGGGTAACTAAATTACTAGAATATCTTCAACCAACCCCAATAAAATAAATGCTCACCAATAATATTATTTCTTTTGAGGGTATATTTGGAAATTTTTGACAAAAAATGCATTAGAATCCGAAAACAACACTTATTTTAGAGTTTCTCCATTTTGCCAAAACGACACTTATTTGGGAATGAAGAGAGTACACGCTGGGTATTAATAACAAAAATACAAAAATGTAAAAACAACACATTTATTTTACATTTACTTATTCATTTTCTCATCAAATGGAAGAAAGAGAGCGTCCCAGATGTCTCGTAGCGTATGGTCTTATTTTGGTGAAAAGAAAATTGATGTAAATTTACCACAAGTTTCATATATGATTAGCAATAATCTATATTTATTTTTTAACAATAAAAGAGGCGTCTTTTGAAGATAACATTAATTGCTACGGACAACTCTAGTGATATTACGGGATTCCGTTCCTTTGATTAATTAAACACATTTTATTACAAAGAAGTTGGGAAAGAGAATGCCCATATGTAGAAGTCATACAAGTACACAACATATAATTGTAATATGGACACACAATCAAGCATAATATCAAACATTAGTTCCATTATATTAATGTTAGTAAATGAGGAAATATAATCGATAAATACCTTGAACAACCTAAGAAATTTCCAACATAATTTGGCTATAAATACCTAAGAACCCGTTAAGATATGGAATCACCAGAAACAAATATTGCTTACAAAACATAAATAGTAGCTAATTAAGAGAGAGCCATTTGCATTACTGTTTAGAGAGAGACATATGGCTGACAATGAAAGTAATGGCGGAGGCCGCGGAGAGGGAAGAAATGGCAAGGCTGCGAGTGTCGTTCCGGCGAAAAAGAAGTCAGTGAAACAAAGGATGGCGGAGAAAATAGTTGAATCCACTTCGAAGGCTTTCAAGAATGAGAAGAAGAAGATAAACCCTAGAGATGCTGACGAAGATGATTAGTAATTAGACAAGTTTGAGTCTCTACACCATGAAGATATGCTTTTTCCAATGTTGATTTCCTTAGTTCGTTGTACTGGCGAGTGTGGTGAATTGTTTAAGTTCTATCTCTAGCTTGTGTATAGAGTAGAAAGTTAATGATTTTATTTCGGTGTGAGTCTTATCATGTAACTCATTCTGTCTCAAAGTAAGCTATTTGTGTAAAATATGTTTATACACTTATTTGTGCAATATATGTATTAAAAATGAGAACTGGAATTGGTGAATGTAAACTTTTTTTCCCTTGTGATTATGTAACTAGTGTTTGACATAGTTGTGTGCAAATCGTACTTGATCTGTCATGAAATTATTATCCAGTTACAGAGAGAATACTAAGTAATCTTATATATCAACTTTCTTAAGAATATCTGCTCTAGGATAAGTATATAAACTACCCCTTAATTTCTTTTTAAAAAAATTAAAATTTCCGTTGTATAAAGAAAAAACAACACCACAAATACAACTTTGTTGTTCCCGAATGTCTGTTACGAAGTGTTTTACTCATTCTGTCTTAACAAAATAGTCAATATTAATTTTTAAAAAATCAATATAAACTATCAATGTAAACTATCTTTTATAACTGAAAGAGTAGTTTTGTTTTAAACCTGTATATAGTACTACGAATTCCACCTTCTTTTCGCATCTCTGTCGATCCGGAGACACCAACTGTGTTGTTGCTACAAGATTAATTACCCAATCCCCAAAGCCACAAGTATATGTTCATTTATGAAGCAAGAGTACTAGTCATTTTATGAAGCAAGAGAACTAATCATCTTCATCAGCATCTTTGAGCAGGAGTACTAGCCACAACTATATACTCACTTTTGCCAGATAACCATTTAGGCATTACACTATCAATTGTTCTTCAAATAAGAACATAGTAGGTGGCTCAGTGCAATATATCATAAATCATGTGACATGGACGGGAGATAAGATGTTCCTTGATTAAAAATGAAAATTCAAGTTAGCAGATCTTGTACAATTTTTAAAAAATGAAAATTCAAGTTAGCAGATCTTGTATATTTTTTAAAATCAGGAACAAAAATGATTGTTGTAGCTATGCAAAATTCTTGGGGTGATCATGGTGATGGAAATTGAAACAGACCAAGTCTCTTGTCCGCATCTTACTAAATCCAGTACTAGGTCTTCTTAGATATTAAAAGAATCCTTAACGTTTATCAAATTTTTTATTTTTGAGAGCCAAAGTAAAGAATGATTAAACCTATGTGAGTTAATAACACATTCACAATTCAAGTTACTTTTGACTGTAGAAGGAACGGTTTACTGCCTTTGGAATAGTAGTAAGTCTCAGAATTAAGAACATCTTTCAACAAACCAAGCTTCCTGCATGCATCATATTCAACGACAAGGACTCTAAAATGCTTAGAATGTCACCATGTCCATTGATGTCTTCGCATCTGCTTGTGGTGTGCTTATACATGAATGAGGAATGATACATGCAAGTTTAACTAAAATTAAAGCAAAAAAACTTGGAACATCTGAATATCAAAATCATGCTTTAGACTCCAACATTGGTTTTCCTACTTGTGCACAAAAGATCCAAAAACATATTA